GGGGGGTGTACTCATAGTCGTGCATGCCGTAGCCGTTTGACCATTGACCTCGCATCCCTACAAAGCCGGGACGGAGCACGCCGGGTTCTCACCGGACCAGGCTCTCACATCACCAAGCGCGAAGCGCCGTGAGATATTCGGCGAGTCGCATGAAGGGTGCGCTGCATCCTGCTAAGGGTGTTCGGCATCTTGTGCTTACTTCCTTGCGTACGGATGACAGCTGCGTATGAATTAATTTATTTTCTGGTGCTTTCACTTCCAGAGACAGTTGTAAGCACTGTGTAACTGCCTCGAGGGTGCTTGACCATTTTAACACAACGTGGTGCGATCATCCCCCTTGCGCGGAGTGAGGGTTCTCCACCCCGCACAACATGATCTACTCGACCACCATTATGATTACCGCCAAAGAAAAACCGGAGGTGGGGGGGGGATTGGCTAAAAGAAATTCAATCCGGCACGTAGTATCGCGCCACTCGGTCCGTCTCTTCTCGCTTGCTTTCTTCCCTCGCCGTCTCGTCCGTCTCCTGCCCCCCTCCCGCCCCATTGGTTGGTGGCTTGTGGTTTCGTTTGAGCGCCCGTTGTCGGCTGGCCTCTCCTTCCTTCTCGTGCCAGGAGGTCATGAACCTCTCAGCTCCCTGCAGCACCGCCGCATGCCAGGCAGCGTTCTCCGCCCTCTACCTTCGCGGCTTCCGTCCACTTCAACTTCGGTGCCGTGTCTTTCAATACCGGGACTCCGAGACCATGTGGGCGACTGCGAACGAACGCAATACAATGTGTATTTTCCCGCACAAGCCTACAGGTATTTTTTTCAGCCAAAAAAAACTACTCCACCTACCTCCCGATCTAGTATTTTTATTGGCAACAACATGGATGTCGTGCGCTGTAAGGGACGGCATATATTTAGAAAAGCATGCGGTGATAACTGGTCCGGCGATCAATCGGTGCTGCTTCCTCCTCTCTCTTCATTCCCCCGCCCCTTCCCCTAGACGCTCCGTTTTTTTACAATTTCCTCAAGTGGAACGTGTGTTGTTTTCGCTTTCCTTCGTTGGCGAATAAGTAAGGTGTCCGGCATCATGCAAGAAAAAACAAAAGCGAGCTTGTGACTAATAACCATTAGCACGCCGACGATATTTATTTGTGGACTTGCTTTTGAAACAATTTAATATGGTTATTATTTTTTTTCTTCTCCTATCATTGGACTCTGTCGTCTGCCCCTCTGGCCCCTATCCTCCACTTCTACCAGCTAGACGGCCCAACCGGGGTCACATAGGAGGGGGGGGGTGGACCCCCTCCTGCGGTTCCTGCCTGAGGTATTTTTATCGCGCGAAGGGTACAGCAATCCCTTCCCTCGCGACTTACGAAGTCGATTATGGTTTACTAACAAACGNTAGTCAGGTCGGTTCTGCGTCATCAGGGCTGCGTGCGGAGTGGTGTGCTGTGCACACGCTTCTCCACCCTTCCTCTGTCAATCTTCTTCTTCCCCTCTCTTCCCGGAGACCACACCGTTGGCTATTCCTAGAGAACTAGTCCTGTCCCGCAAGTCTGTGCACTAGCGGCCCCCCACCGTCGCTCCGGAAGTCTCCTCTGGTCATACAGTGGAGAGGAGGTTCAACCCCTTCCGTCGGTCTGAGATAGGTCGCCCTTATCTGGCGTCAGCAAGCAGGTTTCCACCTGTCTGTACTGTCCTATCTTGAGCATGTCTTCCGAGCTCACCGAGCAGCAGCTCCTCGAGCAACAACATAAGCTCGAGAACCTCAACTTTGCCGAAGAACTTCGTGCCTCCGACGGCGTACCGCTGGCGGACCCACGACTGGCTCCCCCCCCGTCGCTGAACCGGCGGCCACGTCGAGGACAATGGGTTCGAACCACCCAAGGTCCACCCCACCGTACAGCGGCCACCCCTCCATCGTCCCCAACCCCGTCCGCAACTCCAACGCCAACCCCGTCCGTTGCACCCCTCAGCTAGAAGATCTAGATGGTTGTCGACCACCCGCTGGATCCGGATGATCGTATTGGACATGTTGGTCGTTGCGGACGGCGCGATCGATGGGGCACCGGTGGACGGTGTGGCGACGGGAGTCACGGACGGGGTTGGCGTTGGAGTCGCGGACGGGGTTGGGGACGGTGGAGGGGTGGCCGCTGTACGGTGGGGTGGACCTTGGGTGGTGCGAACCCTTTTTCCTCAACGTGGCCGCCGGAAGGAGGGTCACGTGGAGACCATGCCGTTGGCTCTTCCTAGAGAACTACACCGTCGCTCCGAAAGTCTCCTCTGGTCACACAGTCGAGAGAAGGTTCAACCCCTTCGGTCGGTCTGGGAAACAGATGGCGCCCGCACTTAGGAACGTCAAAGTTGGCGTGAGGCTCGACGCTTATTGGCTGCCTCAACCCCAGCACATGCTCTTATGGCCATGCGGAAAAAAAGTTGCAACATCATACAGCACGTCCATGCTGGTACACGAGCGAAGCGCAGGACGAGATCTCCGAAGTATCTACCTAACTAACCAAAGGGAATAAGGCGGCCCAACAGCAACTGCGTGGGGCCTCAAAGAACAGCGCTTTCGAGGCGACCCTGAAGGCGATGCTCAAGGCGTCGCGGAAGAAGCGCAGCATCGCGAGGTGGAGAGCACTGGGAACGTTCTTCGAGGGCTATGTACGGCAGCTCGAGAAGAAGAAGAGCTGCGAGGGGGATCAGGCGGGTTTCTACAGGCACCTGAAGATGATCGACATCGAAGGTAAGAGAGAGGTCGTTCACCTCTCAGAACATCAAGGACGAGGACGGCAAGGTCCTTCGGGTCCCCACGTAAATTCGCCAACGGTGGGCGCGGTGGTTCCACAAGCTTCTCAACACCAAGTCGCCGACCATCAACCTGCATGCGGCTGACAAGGTCAAGCGGTGGCCCACGTGCGTGCCACTCGACGACATCCCATCTCTACTTGAGGTTGAGGAAGCGGTACGGGAAATGGCCAACAGAAAGGCCGTCGGGCCGGACGACCTACCGGCTGAGCTGATCAAGCTTTTCCTGGACGGAGATCAAGGTCTCCTCCGCGAGTTCCACGCCATTGTCGTGGACGTGTGGCAGACTGGGGACGTACCACAGCAGTNAAGCGGTACGGGAAATGGCCAACAGAAAGGCCGTCAGGCCGGACGATGTACCGGCTGAGTTGATCAAGCTTTTCCTGGACGGGGATCAAGGTCTCCTCCGCGAGTTCACGCCACTGTCGTGGACGTGAGGCAGACTGGGGACGTACCACTGAGCAGTGGAAGGATGCCACCATCCAAGTGGTGTTCAAGAAGGGGGACACGATGGAGTGAGGCAACTACCGGGGCATCTCTCTCGTCGCACACGCCGGCAAGGTGCTGCTTAAGGTCGTCGCTACACGACTGAGCCACTACTGCGAGCGAGAGGGCATCCTCCCGGAGGAGCAGAGCGGTTTCCGCCCACACCGGTCGACGCTCGACATGCTGTTTGCCACCCAGCGGCTCCATGAGCTCGCGGGGAAGAAGAGTACTGCGGTGTTCACGTGCGTCGTCGACCTTACCAAGGCATACGATTTGGTGGACCGAGACCTACTGTGGGACGCGCTCCGACGCTTCGTCGTGCCCCCGAAGATGCTGGCGGTCATTCGCCACTTCCACGAGGGCATGAGGGCGCGCGTCCGAACGGACGACGGGCAGTACTCGGAATGGTTCGACGTGGGCCAAGGCCTCCGACAGGGATGCAACCTGGCCCCGCTGCTGTTCAACTTGTTCTTTGCCGCGATGCTCATGGTCGCCGTGGCCGAGTTCGACAAGGACCCCAAGGTGACGGCGGACATGGTCAAGATCGGGACACAAGTGGAGTACACGGGCAAGAAGGGCAGGTCGGCGGGGAAGAAGACGACGGTGGTGACGGACGCGGAGGCCCTGTGGGCCATGCGCTACGCTGACTACGCGACCATCGTCTCGCGCTCGCCGGAGGGTCTCGAGAAGATGTTGTCGGTCTTCGTGCGCGTGGCCGGCCTATTCGGACTGATGGTATCGGAGCCAAAGACGGAGATCATGTGTGTGCATGCTGCCGAAAGGGATCGAGGAAACGCCCGTTCACGGTCAGCGCCGCCGGCCAGACGTACAAGCAGACAGATCGGTTTGTGTACCTCGGACGTACCATCTCCGCGGACGGGAAGGCCGACCGGGAGATCACGAGCCGCAGCTGCTGAGCGTGCAAGTGCTACCACCGGAACAGCGCTTCGATGTACGACAGGCGACGGGCCACCCGCCAGCTCAAGATCCGGCTACTCCAGGCTGAAGTGGTGGAGACTCTCCTGTATGGGTGCGCCTCGTGGAGCCTAACAGCGGAGCACTACACGAAGCTCAATGG